TCGCCTGGCCCGGGGTTGAGGCAGCCTGCACAACTTATTGGTAACCAGGGCTGCAGTGGTCCTGGGCCTGGCTTCTGTTTTGTTGGCACCTTTACTGTTGAATAGAAGTTTCAGAAGCCTGGGATTTAGCTCTATCCTGACTTACAAAATGTAGCATCCTTGTCTTTGATGATTTCTCTACTCTGTATTGTGCATTCCCCAATGCACAGAGTTTTAAGAAAAACTAAAGGATGATTCCTTCTTCTTCTCAATTATTTTGTATGAACTGATAGCAGATTCATTTAAATTTAGGGCCAAAATCATGTCCTGTGTCAGCAATTTGGGTCAGCACTGAGTGATGTTATGAAGCTCTTGTATAGCTTTTATATGGTGGTGGACTTGGCAGTGCAGTGTTAATGGTTGGACTCAATCTCAAAGATCCTTTCCAACCTAAATGCTGCTAGGATTCTACACAAACAGGAAAAATGCAGATACTCTGGCTTACAAAAATGTTATTATTTGCTGCAGGTCAGTTTGTTTGAAAAACTAATTGTGATAGTGCATAAAAGAGAGGGCAAAGCTTTGTGGAGATACAGGGACAAGGCCAAAACTTTGTCATTAAACATGGGCTAAATAGACTTTTTAAATTATCTTTACAATGAAAAGGAGACAGAGTTCAGTGGGAGCTGGTTGTTCTGCTGAGAGTGATAAAGGATGTCCCACATGTCTGAAAGCCTTGTATTCAAATTTATGGGTTCCTCTACCACTGCATTTTCTGTGTAGCCAAAACATTATCAGGTAATTAGCTAAAATACCTATATTCTACATTTTGAAAGAGTAAACAAGATTCAAAACTGACATTTGAGCAGTGCATGGAATATAAACCTTGATATGGTTTGAACAGACATGAGTATTATTGGATGTATCCCGTTCAATGCATTGTTTTGACAGCTTATCCCTCGGAGTCTGAATGAGTTGTAACTCTTTTATACAGAGGCTTCTTCCTCGGATGTTCCCTCAAGGGAATGAAAGATTGGTTTGTAACGGTGCATGGGGAGCTGAAGGTCGGGAGTAAATTCTGTTTACTAAAACATATTCTGGTGCTTAATCTAATGCTGGGTGAGCTCACTCTCACAGCAAAGTTTAGAGCAAGAAAGGAGAAAAACCTTGGCAACTTCATTAAAATGATTGGTGGTATGTGCAAGAAAAGAAGAGAAGGACAAAGAAAGGTCCTGCTAGTACAAGAAGGGTAAATACTGGAGAAGATGAATTTTACTTTCAAAATAATAACTGTGTTCTGGTCAAGTATGCCCATAAATCTGTAATATAGCCTAGGATTTCAGAATGAAGCATTTTTTACTTCCTAAAATAAATTTTTGAGACTATTTCCAGAGATCTTTTTAAGAATCCAATGCAGGAAAAGCAGCATTGGTATGTACAAATTTATTCAGCAACCTGAAATAATATTTTTCATCCCTCATTCAATTTATTTATTTGTAAAGATCTTACTAACACCAGTAAATTGTTATTCAGTACCACATGTTACATTTTTTTCAGGATTTCCACTGACCTGAAAAGAGTATGGTGTATTAAAACACCTATTTGGAGACATGATGCAAAATTGTTTCCATTGTTTAACACAGGAGGCACTGAGTTTAGTTGGTTGAGTCTTTAAATATATGGCACAGGTTATTTCATACTTTTCTACTAACATAGTGGGTTTTTAAAATTTTATAAGCATAGTGATCACAAAAAGTTCAGTGTGGGAGGGACTTGGACACCATCCTTAGAAATATGCTGTATAGAAAGTACCTATGGTCTCTGCCCTCTGTGGCTGCCCTGCTGAGCCTGTGTGCAGCCTCCTGCCATGACCTGATGTCTGCTAATTGACAGAATCAGAGTTACACATTGCTGGGGGGAAATTTTTCAACTACTTTTTGGTCAAATTGCAGGTGACACACATCCTGACATATTTAGCACGAGGGGAAATGACTGCCAGGTCTCTCGAGAGGCTGCTTTGTAATTGCTCTCACCGAAGCATTGTTATTATCACTGATAAGAGGGCTGGAGCTCAGAAACAGCACTCATGTTTGGGAGCTGGATGTGCAAGGGGAAATGGAGTAAGTAAGGAGATGTCAACGGTTGTCAGCACCCAAATTCTCCAATGGTGAAGATACAGGAGATGGAATGTTAATTGCTTTCCTGGAAGATGCCTTCTAATATGGGAATTGCACATATGAGTATTCTGCAGTCCTACGAGCTTTATTTGAAATTCAAAACGAGCTTTTCTCATCAGTGCATACCAGCCTGAGTGACTTTTAATTTAATGTTACCCTACAGAGTTCTACCAAATGTTAATAAGTGATTGTACACAGCACGGGTGTTTGAAGAAGCCCCCTCAGAAAAGGTTGCAGAACCACGTTGTGCTATAATTTGTATCGAGACAATGTCCTGGGATCCAAAATTAATTTGTATTTTTTTCAGTTTATTTTCTGTGTGCTTTGCATTGTAAACTACTTTTATATACAAATCCTTCACTGCCTCAGCAGGTCACAAATATTTAATGGAGGAAAAAGAGATAGAGTGGCTGCCCAGCTGTGTGTGCACCTGCAGGTCAGGGTGCTGGTGACTGAGATGAAACAGGAGGATGTTTGGAGCCAGTTGTCTTGGCCTCTGTGTAGATACCTGATGGCAGACAGTAAGTGAGATAAGAAATTCATAGTCTGAAAAACGAGGTAAACAGTGAAAAAAAGAAGAAGAAAGTCACTCCAGACAACACCAAGTGTTATGCAGTACCCACTGTACATAGCAGTGCCTTTTCAGCATCACACACACAAGCCACAGCTGGTACAAGGGGCTGCCCTTCTTTGCCTCTTTGGTTTTCTGCCTGATAGTACCAGCAGCAGAGATCTACCTGTGCCTTGGGGTTCAGAGCCCCCCGCTCCCACCTGGGCCAGCAAGGCTGAAACGAGTGCAGCTGACTGTGAAAAGGAGTTTGGAAGGCACAAGTGTCCCTTGCGCTTTGCTGCCACTGGGCTTGGGTGGGCAGGAGCCCCCGCAGCCCCCAGCTCTCCTTGCCTTCCTCACTTTGCCAGCTCCTGGAGGAGCTGCTGCTGCGCTGAGGGCAGAGCAAGACACCCCCCTCCCCTGCAACATCCCCACTCCTGCAACCATCCCACGCTGCTGCAGCTTTCAAACTCGCGCTGCTTTGATGGATTAAAACCTAGTGATAATTTACTGATCCGTGAAGGCTGATATTTCATCCGGGAAATGAAAGAGACATTCACAGGATTATGCACTCCCACCATCTTATATCATCAGTCTTCCCTCTGGATTTTTTCAGGTAGCAGCTATATTGGGATTGTGTAGTACATAGAAAACAGGAATTTGAAACCAAGCGAGGCTTTCAAATGCTTAATTTGAAAACAGAAATGAGCATACAATAACATGCAATTTTTCCTGATTTTCATATTCCAACATAAGTAACAGGGAGGAAAACAAGTTCGTTTTCCTCTTCAGGCACTTCAAATGATGTTTGCCAGCAGAAGTCACAATCATATCTTTGGCCTTCTTTTTTTTTTTAAATAATGATACTGCAAAGAACTATATTTTTTATCATTTAGGCTAATGTTTAGTTTGCCTAATTCATACACAGAACTCTAGAGTCTCAGGAGAAAGAAATTAGAATAATGTAAAAATGCAGCACACGTCAAGACATCTTGAAAGAGATGGAAAGTATTAAATGCTGTTTTAAAAATTATTTTTATCTAGAAAATCAAGGAATTTGAATTAAGTAGCCTGAGAAGATTTTAAAGTTCTACATATTCCCTAAAAGCATATTTTTCATGTGAATTATTGCCTATACAATGTAGATCCTTATTTTTCAAATAAATTTACATCAGAAATGTATTAACATCTAAATATGAGCACAAAAGAATTACTTATTTGTGGAAGTATTTTTTTACCAAAACTAAAATAGTAGACACCAGTTTACTAATTTTAATTCTACCAAAATTTGAATGTTCAAGCCTTGCTCAAACTGAAGCCTTTTACTGCGGCCAAGAATCCATAATTAGGAAAAGGAGTGTCTCACTTATCTGAGCATTTTTGCAATGACCAAGTGTCATGTGTGACAAACAGGTGGCAGTGAGCAGGGGAGCTGAAGAACTGGAGAATAGTACAACAGTCTGTGTCAAATAGATCACTGGCTGCAAGACAGACCACAGAATAAAAGTTGCCTACTCAGTAATTTATGTAATGATGGCAAAACTACCTTGATTTTTGGAATGATAACTACCTTGTTTTTATTTCATGTAATTTCTCAGGTTTTGTTGCATCTTCTTTTTCTGTATATATATATATATATGTATATATATATTTGCTTTAATATATATTCTAGCCTTTTTTTTTTCTGTCTGACAGTGTGGTAATATTATTTCACTTTCAAAAAAGGTCAAAACCACCTTTTTTGTCTGAAATCTTAAATAAGAATCTCCAGTCACTCTGCAAGCTGGTGCCTCCCCCATGCATTGCAATAGGTTATTAACCCCAGAAACTGGTGGTAGACATCCCAATTTCAATACTGTTTCAGTTGCTGCACAGGTCATTTTACCACATTCCTGCTATAGGCTGCTGGAACCAGAACTCACTCCTGGGTTAATTACTGAAGGAAAGAATCAGTTGAAAATGCCTCTGCTCTGTGTCCATGGCAGGTGACAGAGGGCAAGAATCTTCCTGCACATCCAGCTGGCATGTGGAGGAGAGCTGGGGTGGGATTCTGGGCTGTACCAGTGTAGAAGTTTGCCCCCTTGGATGTCCATAATTATCACCATGTGTCACTGAACTGGCCAGCACATGAAAAACTCACACCAGGGCATGGCATAAACTGTCTTTTGCCATGCTGGTGTTTGGGGAGATAGGGACTTTGATGGAGTGGAGGATGGGTGTGCCACACTGAGAAACAGACATAAAAGGGGGGACTGTTCAGGATAGATTATGCTGGAAGGAAGGGAGGGGCAAGCCCCTGTTCTTGGGGGCACAAGGTAGTAGGGAACAAGGCTGTGAGAAATCACACTGGCAAAACTATTCATTTTAGTATATTTGAACTTTAACCAACTTCTGACCTTGAAAACTGGGAACAAGACTTTTGAAGTAGTTATTGAAAAGATGCAAGAGGCAATAGAGATTTCCTGAAGAGGAAGCAGGTGAGTAGACACCCAGAGCCTTTCCCTTTGAGAGCTTCCTAGCCAGCCCCTGGACATGGTGAATGAAAGGCTGACAATAAACAGAGAGCTAAAGATACTTCCCATCTCTGGGGCTTTAATTTTACCTGTACCAGGCTGTTTAAGAAGATATCACAGCCTCTGGAAGGAAGCAATAGGAAACTTTAAACTCCAACGAGGAGATCTTTCTTTTCTGTCAGAGAAAAGGGCAACTTAATTACCCTGTTCTGCTTTGCTCAGCCATGGTGGTGTTCCTGCTGAATACAAAATGCTGAGCAGGAGTGAGGGCTTAATAGAAGAACCAGCACTGAGCTGATTCACTCTGTTTTGAGAAATGACTTATTTATTTGCTGGTGTCAGTTTTGCCATTAGCTCTAAGGAGAGAAGTAAACAATATTTTTCTGATGCACCCATCAGCCCTTCCTCAGAATGCACAGTTGCTCAGTTCATAACTGGAGATGTGTTTATGGTGGGGTTGCAGGCATTTTAACTGCCCTGCTGCCCCTTTGCCTACAGCCAGTCTCTGATGCTGTTGAGACTTTACTGGGCCTCAAAGTTTGTATTTTAATGAACAAAGGTTTGCTGGTTATATCATTAATCTTCTATGTACCTTCCACCCCATTTTCTTCCTCTGTAATCTCTTGCAATGATATAAAAATTCCAAAAACAGTGATTTTCAAATCATTGTTTCTGTAGTTAATTTTCCAAAACGTACTTTTCAAAGCTTTGCAAATTTTTGGCTTTTCCTTGGTCCTTTTTTGTGTGTTTGAGGGGGAGGACTTGTTGCTGTTTTGGTTTGGTTTTGGTTAGTGGTTTTTTGTGGTTTCTTTTTTGAAGGATTTTAGGTAGAATTGTCTATGTCATTAAGTCTTTTATGCAGCAAATATAAACCAGATTCTTGTTGCAGCACACCCCAAATAATGTGAATGACTGCTATAGAGATTCAGCCTTTTAAAGAGAAATTGTACAATATTATCAATGGCCATGTTGTCTGAAAAGCTAACTTTTAAATTTTTAAATTAAAAAAAGAGAAGGATCTTAGTCTGCTATCATTGTTTTTCACCTCTTCATAAATAATGTTAACCTTCATAAGTTTATCTAATTGTACTATGGATGTTTTTTTTATCAAAGGAAAAAAAAAAAAAAACAAACCAGAAGTCCTTTATGCATGTCAAAGAGCCATTTACAGAAGACCATTTTCTTCACCTCACTGCAATTTCAGACAGGGAAGTTGAATCACTTACAAAAGGAATTCTGATGTCAGTATTGTAAAAATATTCATTTTTCTAGTGTTGAAGACTCATAAACTTGGATGTTCTTAAAGCTTTTCTGCCATCAGACTAAAACCTGTGAAGAACTCCCGGACTGAGGTATTTATTTATTATTCTTCACTTTTGACATTTTATGACCCCACACTGGCTAGATGAGTAATTCTATCAGTGCTAATTCTAACCAGATAATCAAATGAAGTGTGAGTAAAAACATTGCCACTGTAGGACAACATCCCCTCAGAGACCTAACTTACACTTTCCTTCCTCTGAACCCTTCTCCTGTCTCTCATCTCTGTCCTCCACATCCTGTTACCACAGAAAACATATGGCATGACAATTCTGGGGAATAATCTCTTATGAGAACAATTTCCGTATTTGAAAGAATCAGATAACCTTTCAGGAACCCAAGTCCTCCTTTGGACATAAAATTGAAGCCCTGAGCTCCTGAGGTAAATCCTAGCTACTTTTTTATTAATTAGATGTGTAAAGCATTTGAGACAGCTGAGAGTGGCTGGCCAGCTTGAGCCTCAGGAATAGCATGGGGAATGCTAGATAAGATAAGAAGGTGATTATCCCTTACTGGAGAAAAAAATAACAGGTAATGTATTGCCTAAGGAGGAGAAGGTTGATGGGGGGAGGGAGGAGAGATTCCACAACATTCCATTAAAAATGTTCCATTAGAAAGTCTGTTGACTCCCATTTTTATGGATTTGAGTTCCTACCATCATCATTTTGTGTTTTGTTTACTTTTGAACACCACAAAAGAAGAAGCAGGGAAACAGAATAAGAAAGCACTTCTGCTCTGTGGCCTCAGGGTTGGAAAGCCATGCTCCTCTAGGGCAGGACTCAAAAAGGATATGCAAAACCTAAAAAAAAGACAGAACAGCACTGGAGAACAAAAAGGAAAATAAATTTTGGCTGTGGAATGAGCCATTGTTTGAGGTGGAACCAGCTCCACAGCTGGGCAGCTGAAGGACTAGGTACAATACATTGATTTTCAGTTATGAAAATGTCTCACAGAGCTCTTTTATATGACATTGGATGCATGTACCTAAAGGAGAATTGCCAATAACAGCTAAATGGAAAAGAGGAAAATTCTTTATAAGAAAACAGATATAATAAAGATTATGAATATGTATCTTACCAAGAAACCATTATTGTAGCGAGGCTCTAAGTGAGATAAACAGTAAGACAGCTTGTTCATTATAGCACACTGTGCATTGTATGTCATAATAACTGCACTGTACTGATATTCCTGCACTTCCAAGAAGCTTTACATTGTTGTTTCTCTTATTTACTCAGCAGGCTCCTGATTCAGGGACGAGATCATCCTGTGCTAATAGAGATTTGAGCACATACGATCCTTGAAATTATTTGGCTAGTTACAATGCTGTAGAATTGTAATTGTCTTCTCACAATGATGTCTATTCTATAGTTTGTCTTCTGACTGTAAATAAAAGCCATTAAGAAGCCTTATGAGTCAACACTTTGGCACAGCTCTATTTACAACACACCTCTCTATATGGAGATTGTCTGATTATGCTTTACATTCTGACATTTAAATAAGCATATTCTGAGTTTTATTTTCTGAGCATTTAAAAAGCTCCTTAAGAGCTCAAAGCACAATAGCACAGAATAATTTACTGTTGTTTGAAGAAGACTTTCAAACAGCTCTCCAGGTGCCTCTGAAGCGAGTGTTGACTGTTTGCCTGCTGGTGTGAAAGGTGGAGGATGGTGATGCCCAGTGTCACGAGACCTCCTCAGTATGTGGGATCAGCCTACTTCCACGTGAGCCACAGGCTTGGCTTTTTCCATGCTATGTGAGTTATTTGTAACTACAAAGAGTGTCATGTTCAATGACCAGTGGCAGAGGCAATCGATAAAATTTTAGAAATTTCATCTGTACCTCACTCAAGTGCAAAAAATGACCTAAAATAAACTTAGCTTTAGAGAAAGAGAGCTGTCCTGTGATATCTCATATCTGAGGATATTTCTCCAGCTCCTCTGGTGTCTCCATGTCCTTTATTGTCTCAGGAGTATTTCACAATAATAGGAATCTTCCAGCAAGAGTCTGAGTAGTGCCAGAGATTCAACAGAAAAATGGACTGAAGTGGATTGAATAGCAGATCCTGGGCTTTGCAACTTTCTGCAGTGTCAAAAAATTTTAAGTCTACAGAGAAAACCTCCTTTTCCATGCCAGCAGCCCTAGGACTGAGTTTCATGACTCCTGCAGCCAGTATCACCCCATCCCCTCTAAAGCTGTGCCCTGTGCCTTAGCCTCTCTACCCATGAGAACAAGTAAGACCCACTGCTCCTGCTTGGTTAAAACCCTTCCTTGCTCTACCCATTCCAGACTGAAGGCTCTTCTCCAGAGAACAGACTGCACTACATCAACACAGGCTCACTGGGAGCAACTGTCTTCACCCAATGTGAATTGGTTGGTGGACATGAATCTCACAGCCACCGTGGGTCATTCTGGCCCAGGGACTCTTGCTTTGGGAATTTAACCTGGTCCTAAGCAATGTCCAAATGGGAGCTGTGCCTCTCTGCCACTCCTTGCCTGTGAGAACTGTGCACCAAAGGGTCATCAAGAGCATGAAACTTTTACAGCAAAAAGTAAAAAGGGAAAATCAGAGTTTTCTTCAGCAGTGTAGTCCTACACAAAATCTTCTAGTGGTGATTGAACTGATCCAAGCTGGTCTTTTACTCAAGGGATATTTGACAAGAGCTACAGCTCTTGAGCCAGTCCCAGCTGGAGTCACTTGGCACTCTGCTCTCAGCTGTGGCAGGTGCATATGCCACCTTTGGCTGGCATTATTCCCAGAAATACCCAGGGAGTACAAGTGATACTGAAGAGACACAATATTTGTCTTATATGTTTTTCCCCAAATATTTTGGTTCTTAAACTCTATCTGCTAGAGCCTCCAAAGCTGTTGTGGACATTAAAGTTATTTCTCTATCACAGAAAACTCTACTGCTCATAAACTACTTCTGAGTTTTAGTGAGGTCATTAGTCACTTTCTGGAAGAACACAGTTCAGTAAAGTGCACTAGGATGCAAAAAATATTTCTGGCAAAAGACACCAGCATGAAGGGTGATTCACCCACAGGAGGATTACAGTAAATTACAAAGCAACCTGGAAAGCTGACAGTAGGGATGAATGCAGGAAAGCAAATGTGATTTTATATAGTAGGAACTTGATATATGAAAGGAAATTAAGATCAAGTTTAAAAAATGATGACTGAGCATAATCAAACTACATCCATCTCATTAAAGCAAGTTTATTTTCAGCTTGTTACTTTGATAGAACTTCCTTATGTTTTCATGCTATATCTTTAGTCTTTGATGAAGGAAGCTGAATAAAACTGTCCATCAATGAAGGTTTATTTTACTCATCTTTTGAGACGTGTGAGCCATATTTACACTCCAACAGCAGGGGCTCTTTCCCACAATACCATGACCTGGAGGATTTTTTAGCCTGCAGCAATTGCAGATGCATGCCTGAGGCTGCCTGCTCTGCACCTGCCGCCTGTGGCTGCTGCAGGGGCAGATCAGGGCATCCTGACAGCTCCTCCAGATGCAGGAAGACAAAATGCACCATGATTGAAGAGAAGGGCAGGAGCAAAGGCTGTGCCTGTGCACATCAGAAGCGCATCAAGGAGAGTGGTTTGGGATAAGAAAGTCTCTCTTCTCCTTCATGTCATTATCCACAGATACATTCACACTGTGGGTCACTCCATGACTCTTACCTACTTTCCCAGAAAACTACAATCAAAAAGGCTTTGCTCTTTGAAAGCTAAAGAAAAGAACCGGGTGCATAGACTGAAAAGTCTTTGTTATGAAAGGTGTAAGAAGTGGGCTCAAGTCTCACCAGGGAGTTTGCTTACAGAGAAAACACAAAAAACTTTCTTCAGCTGAGTGACAATACAGTAAGAGGAGAGAACACTGAAACTCCCACATTTTGTAGATACAAAGCAGCTATGTGTTTCCTTCAGTTGTGGGAAGTAAGTCTATACCTTTTACTAGGTACTGATGGTGCTCTAAAAGAGGATTTTAATAGAGATTTACACATGGCTGAAAATCTGGTCTATTTGGCCAAATACTTTTTAACAGAACTCCTCCTGCTATTACTGAGAATGCCATTAACAAGAATAAGCAAACTTGCTTTAGCCCAGGATCAGCCATCACTCAACTGCTTTTACACAGTTCCAGGAGAATGGAAGGGAATTGGATGTTCTCCAATGGCTCTTGTAAATTTGGAAATCTGTTTGGCTATTAGTGCATGGATATAGCAACATCCATCACAGTACTATACCTATGCACAAGTGCTTGGAAAAAACACAGTCAGGATGTTTCTTTGTTCCTATGTATATTTAATAAGAATACATTCCCTCCTGAGCTGCCTCCTTTACATAGGAGTATCTGCCTGCAGAGCATTGTGCTGTTGGATTAAAGCTACAAAACATGCAGACATCAGCAATATATTGGTTTCTGGCAGCAAGGGTTTGTCACACCCTGTTAGTAAAGAATTTCATTTTCAGCCCAGTATATTGAGTGCAGGACAGGCCGCCCCCTCAGGCTTTAAATTAATGTTTTAAATGAGACAGAAGCATTCCAGGGAAAAGAAATTACCTGAAAATCACACATCTTCTGGCATATAATTCTACTGCATAATTTTGACACTTGAATTAAATCAAATTTGTATCTCTATTCCTATTTCAGAAGGATATTTTTCTAGGTTTCTGATGTAGGAATAAAGGACCAAAGGAAAGAGATATGCAAAAAAACCCAGAGAGGACTTCCATTTGCACATAACAAACACGTTATAAATACCAAAACAAAACCAAGGTTCAGTTATTATGCTAGAATAATCACCAGGACTTAGAGACAAAAACAGAGCCTAGAACACTCATCCAAATGTTTAACAAGATGCAAATTTCAAAATCTGGATTCTTTTGCATTTCAGAAATTGTGTACTGAGAAATTTGAAATGAAAATAGATTATTTCTTAAACCTGCAAATTTACTGAAGATAAGGTGGAAAGTAATTGTTTAATAATCATTACTGCCCATGTTTTCTTGTTATTCTTTCCTTTAGCCAAGGAAAAACAGATGAATCAGTGCAACTGTAGGGATTTTATAATATTTGTATGCTTTATTCCTTGGGAGGACTCATGGCACAATGAGTAAATTGCCCATTGCCAAGGTTTTGCACAGATTATGTCCTTCCACATTAAAATAGCATATCTGAAGATTAATGTGCAACAAAAAAAGTTCAATTACAGACAAGAGTTTAATGACATTGTGCACAGGGCTTTAATGTCTTATCAACTCTGATTTTGGGGCCAGAAATGGCATTTTAGAAACACACAAATGACAGTACACTTTAAAGGAAGATAGTCTCTTTTGTTAAACAAAAGGATCATTTAATTTTACTGGAATAAAGGGGTCATAAAAAGAAGTAGGATCTACAATCATCTAGGCCTTATGCAGAGTGAAACCCAAGATATAACCCAAACAGCTTCATACTGTTTAAATCTTGGTGAAAACAAACATTTTAAGGATTTTAGATTTCCACACCATTTGAAAATGCAGAAGCCTTGTGTCAGTTCTTATTCCACATTCACCCTTTGCTGTTATATCTTCTTGTAGCATGAATTCTGATGTGGTTGGAGCGATGAAATGCAGCTGATAAAACAGAGAATTCTGTCCCTGACTTTCAGCCTTCCTAACATCAGGTGCTGGAGGTACTGATCAACAGAAAAGGTAATTTATTTACATAATGGATTTTGGGATGAACAGTGGTCACAGTGCTTGTCATGATTTTCATTCCTACTTAATATTCCTTTGGGAAATGAACAGTGACACAGTACAAGGTGGGAGAGGATGTTGATTCTAGTATATGTTCACACAAAATAATTTGGCTCTGCAAAAATTATCAATCCAAGTTCCAACTTTATAACATGACATTACAGTATAAATATACTTTTTAATTCCACTTTGCTAGGAGCTTGCTAGTGGATTGCCTAGGACAGAATGGCCATGGGGAATTATACTATTTTCAAAGAAATTTTAGTCCTTATAATGATAAATGTGGGAAAAAGTCAACCACTTTAAAATACTACTGCACTACCAAGGCTCCTTTCTCTGCATATTCTGAATACTCAGGAATTCAGACTAAGGAGGTGTTGAAACACTTGTGCTCACTTGGGCATCACTTGGGAAAAATGAGGGTTCACTTGGGAAAGACAGCAGCACAGGGCAGGAGAGTGAGGCCAGGACCTCAATCCAGAAAACTTGCTTTTCAGACATTTTAGCTGCAGCTGCAGGTGAACTTAATTGAAATGGTGATTGTTCACTACTTCTCGTGAGTCTCCCCACAATTTCAGGGATGTATTTTGGAGGTTACTTCAACACACGTAAAACATGTGGGACAATGTACTGGTGTGTCCATTAGAAAATATGAGAAGCATTGCAAAGCCTGGTTTGATTTTATGCAGTGTAAGCATACATTTCTGTGACTGTTCCTCAAATCCTGATACAGTAATTCTTCACATAAGTTCGAATTTATTTTCTTCTTGCTTCATGTGATTAATCTTTTAGTGAAAGAAGAAAAGAAAAAAAAAAAAAGGTTTCTTTCCACATTGATTATCATCCAAAATCTTAGCTCTATGACGCAGATGAATTACCATGAGCTTTATTTGTAGATGCATGGTCTTGGCGAGCACAGCAGGATGTGAGAAGCTCAAGGTCAAAGAGTGAGGCAGCACTGAAGGAGAAAACATGCCCTGCTCATCCTGATTCCTGTTCCAGCACTTCTCTGCTGGTTCATCATCCAAATTAGTGTGGGCACAAAGAAAAGGCTTAAGAAATATACCAAAAATCAGTGTACCTAGGCAGATGATAGAAAGCAGAGGAGAATGTACCATGTCTTTGAATGCCTCCCCCTGCCCAAAGGCAGGCTTATTTATCTCTGGCTCTGCCAGTTCTGTTGCTTTTTTGTGTAACCTGTTCTTAAAAAACAACACTGGCAATCCCCTCCCTTCATTAGGCAATCTTTCCTGGGAACTGGGCTGTATATCCCAGGTCTCCAGATTTGCCTTTCATTGCAACAGTTCTGGGGAGCTGCTGTTCACATACTGACTTGTTGTAGCTAGTCTTGATAGAGCTCCACGAGATAAGACATTGTGTGGGCTGCTGCCATCCAGGGTGTTTTGTCCCTGGGTAAGGGCTGGGGCAGCGAGGGAGCTTTTGCCTTGGCTGGTGAAGGATGGCTGTAAATTGTCAGTGTGCATGTAGAGCTTTGCAGTTGTACAGAACACAGATTCTGGCAGCCACAGCCCTTCAGCAAGAGTTAGAAGGTGCTCTGGCCCATGTAGAGAGCTGGGCTGATGGTGCTGTGGCTAGGCACAAGTCAGCAAAGAGTTTCAGATGGTCTTCTGAGAGAGCAAGAGCCCTGGCAGCTTTGGAAGCAGAGGAAGGGCAGTCTCAGGAGTGAGCAGGAAATAGGAGGCAAAATATGTAAATTTTAAGATGCTACAATACAGAAATTGAAGGGCTTTTTTGGAGAAAACCTAAGGGATGGATTTCAACCTTACAACCCTAAGGGCAGAGAATAAAATATTAATACATAACTTTTTTTTTCTCATTTTTATTGAGTCTAAGTGGGTGCTTTCTTAATGCCACCCCTTATATACCCAGTACTTATTCTGTCTAAATATCAGTACATCAGTTCACATCTGTAAATCAAGACCAACATGTCTCTCTAAGCCCATTAGCAATTCCTAGTGACTACATCCATTGTAATGAATATTATACTTTAATAATTGATGTTTCACATGCTCTATTTTTCTCTTCTTGGCACTGGGACCTTCTCCAAATGCATCAGAAGCACTCCTGGTAAATGGAAGGTAATGATGAAGTGAAACTACAACTTCACACAGTGATCTTTTCCCTTTTGTTGATGGTCAGAATTTACATGTTAAATTAGAGTCAAATTTCAGCTCAATCACTGCATTCCAGTTACAATCCTAAGGAATTGAGGTTTTGTGATACTTTCTCCAAATTCAGTAGAAAGGAAATAATGAAACATTCATGTAAGTAAATTACAGCTCCACACCCTATTAGTCATAGAACTTGAAAGTAATTTGAAATCTTGAGTATATATGAATTATTGAACAATGAGTGAAAATGAAAGAAAATGCGGACTATAACTTGCACTTCCACCTTTGTGTAAATTGCTACTGTGGTACCTCTGTTCCGTAATTTCAGGGCAGCATTGAAAGAGCAGCAGAAACCTGTAATATTTAAAAACAGTAGGAGCCTTATTACATAGAAAAGCCAGAAGGCAGCAACAGATCAAAGATGAGAAAGGACATAAAAGGGAATGTGGATGGTTCCAGTTAGTCCCACCTGAGCTCATGGATAGGTTCAGTTCTACACCTCTTCTGGTTGCCCTCCTTCCATTTGGCCGGTGGAGAAGGACACATTAACACATTTTGTTAGACAGCTGGGGCAAGCTGAGAACAAAGGTGTGCCCCAGCATCATCTCTGCAAGTGGACGTGAACTCTGTCCAATAGTTGCCATCTGTGGGATGAATGGGTAAAAGATTTTTTTATAATACAGAGATAGGCACTGCAGAATAGCTATACAGAGGTACAGATTCAGCTTTTAGAATAGGTGTATGTACAACGTTGAATTTTGTAAAAGGTTTTTTTCCTGGTATTTAGGTTTTTACATATTCCAAATTTTTATGTGGCTATTTACCTCAACAATTTTAGGACACTTTTTAAAAATTTTCTCTTTTTCTTGGTATGAAGATTTGAGTAGCACTTTTTTTTTATGGCCAACCCCCAAGTCTCATTCAATTTTTTCAACTCCTCAGAACCTGTGCCTTCACTCATTAGCTCTTCCTGTATCCTACAGATTTCTGTTCTGGAATAATCTTTAATATGGGCTCTTTTTGTTGATCCTTCTAGTTAATTTAACCCCAAATGAGGCAAGACTAACTTCTGCAGCCACCACTTTCATGGTAGCATTATGTTTTAACAAGACCAGATTCAAAGCCTTTCTTTGCTTAGGAATGTGTTTCTCAATTGCAAACAAATTTCATGGCTATCAAACTAGATATCTGATCTTCATGTCTAATTGATGTCTGAGAACTAAAAACCTTCCATTGTCATTTGTAATATTTATCTTCCTATATTGTTAATATTTTTTCTGTAAGTAAAGTACTTGAGTGTTTTTCTTAAGTAACCTTAAGGATTTTTTTTTCTATGCCATCACCAATACTGACAAGATTTCAGCAGTCTGCTATTTATTTCTCTTTTCTCATTACTATTTCAATCTCAGAGATAAAATCTTGATTGCTATTTGATTGTGGTTTAGTTTTCTCTACAGTATTTGTTCTTACATTCTGCACAGTAGTTCCAATTCCCAGATTTTATTTTCTGGACTTCACGAACTTCTTGTATATTAATTTCTCAGTTGTTTCTCACCAGTATCTCTTAGTTTCATATACGGAAACTCATTAACCATACCTGCTATCTGATTACTTTTGCAAGAATCATTCTTTCTCCCAGTTCTGCTTCCTCTATGCTCTCCCTTCCTTCTTTTTTTTTTCCTTTCTGATCAATAGCTGGGATCTCTAAGATCCTCTACCAATCTTCTCCCTTTAGTCCATAAATTAAATTCACAGTCATGCACAGACCTCACACACCGACTTTGATAGAGTTCAAGAGGAGCCCTTTCTCTACAAAAGCTTTCTGATATTTTCTAATGAAAAACTTTCTTCTACTATCAAACTTTGTGTTCTTTTAATATTTATTGTTTTGACACGTCACTTCATTAAATCCAGCCAAGCTTCAAATGTCTGTTCAGAAATGAGGTTTCTAAGCCTGTCTATACCAGATCTGTCTCTTGGCTGTTTTCTCTGAGAGGATATGATCCTTCAGTTTAAAGAAAAACTTAGGCTGGCCAAAGGCAAAGCTGGAAAAGGCAGGCAAATTTTGCATTTGTAGTTAATTTTAGAATGAGCTGAAGAACCTTTTTGACAAGTACAAGCTGTACTTTCATAATGGCCACACTGGCACAGCCTGTGTAGCACTGGAAGGGCCAAGTGGCAAGTTCTCTCTGCAGTCATGAAATGAGATACTGGCCCTTGTCTGCGAGGAGGCACATGAACCTCGGGGTGCTGTTTGCTCTTTGTCACAGGAGACCTGTGTGAGAGGGCTCCAAGCAGCACTTTGGAGACAGGCCAGCAGCTTCCTTTGCCAGTCGAAATCAACCGTTCACAAACAGGTTCGTTTGTGCAAGTTATCTGGCACCTGGACAAAAGTCAGGCTGAGAGGAAACAGGAGTCCTTTGTGAATGTCTCATAAATAAGAAAAGAAACTAATTTAATCAAGCACTCTAGAAAACAGATAGTATGAGCAGTTTCAGTTTTAAGCTAGAGCACTCTTACTGAACCAGCTGTAAGAATATGAGTACAGATTTACATAGTGACAACTTGCTAGCTATCTTTTGCGAAATCATTGTGTCATTTTTAAATAGTTAATTAAGTCCTTTAAGTATCAAGGCTCCAGGAAGTGATAAGACAGCTTGTGAAAAAGCAGCTTGGACACCTCAGGTGCTTACTGCTTGGTAAAGTATTTACAGGATACCTTTGGTTATTCCAGGTGAGATGACTGCACATTGCCATGCATGCAATGGCTAGGTAGGACTGGCAATTCCTTGAAGAAAGGTAGAGCTCTAAGAGTTCAGGAGAAAAGGGGGAATCTTACTTCTCCTTTTACCTGTGTGAATATAATGCATGACTTCTTGATTTGTAACATGAAATTTCTCTGCATGCACTTCCAGTGTGACTGAAAAAATAGATATAATGCTGCTGATTAAAAGTATAACCTTAAAAACAAAAGCGCACCAGAGGTTTTGCTCTCCAGCTCACCAAGGACATTGATCAATGCTCAGCAAAACCTCTTCATCTCACCTCTCACTGTCACCTCTGGAGAAATCACAGAATAACAGAGTAAGTATCTGGCTTCCTCCTTGTTCAGGCTTTTAACCTCATTGTGTGAGCCCAGCGAAGAAGCAGCAATGATGTAAGTAGGTAAATTAAAGACTGAGAACACTTCTGGTCTCTGTTCCTCCTCCTTTTTTTTTTTCCACTTCCAAATTAGGAAAACGTATACCAGGATTTTAATGAGGAGCAAACGGGTTAAACCAGAACATGACTTTTAGACCCAAAATGGGACTTACCTTGCTGTTTTCTGTTCACCAGACTTTTATGCCCTGAAATGAGGCTGTGGGAATTCAGTTTGCTTGCATGGGGTATGACATCTACAGCATGAATTTTTCTGTTGTTATTTAATTTGGCACTGCAAAGCACCCACCAATTCTATTTGAGGCTCCATCAATGCTCTTAATGTTGCCACTGTGGATAGGCTGTTTATTTCAACAGATAGTCCTCAGAACCTGATAAATTTAAAATGTTGAGGCTAGTGTTGGAGATTGCACCACCAGTGCCAAGATTGCACCACCAGTGCCAAGACAAAATAAGATTGAGATAAGTGGAGCTATTAAAAACATAGTGTATTACTGCTGGAAAAATTCTGTTTCATTTTATTTAAATGACAACACATGCAGTTTACTGAAACTAGTAGATGGAGATGTTTTCTTTTTTTTTTTTTTCTTCATTATTTGTTTTTTATGATCAACATTTCACAAAGAGTGAAAATGGTAGCAAAGGCCTTTTTCATTCCTTAGTTTTAATTTTCTGACACTGGGCATGCCAGCATCTGTGCGTGAAGCAGTGCTCACCTCCCACCACACAATCCCAGAGGGCTGTCCAAGCTTCTACCTGCTCTCACTTAGTGCATGTGCTACCCAGACACTGGAGACTGTTGATGGTGTGGAGTAGGGCAGGGCATAGGGCATACCATTTAAATAAAATGGAATACAACAGGCATTCAGTGGTGGTACACGACTCACTGCTGAACCATCACATCAGCTGGCATTAGTTCTGACCCCTAACCCATATAAATCCTATTGAATGTATGCCTATTCAAGTATATGAAAGAAGATGGGCATAGTGAAGGTAATGTGAAGAAAAGGAAGTATTATGCTCACAGCAATGCTATGGGCCCTTGCTGTGACATACACAGTGCATAGTTGGTGCTGTAGGGCCACCCTTATTTTACCTGTGATATGCCAGGAAACTTTCCCAGCTTTGTTATGCAACCCCCCCACTGCAATTCTTGGCAGCACCTTGCTTTTATTGTGGTGAAATATCTCTTTACACAAAGTGCCCAGGGAAACAATGGAACATTAGTCTCTGCCAGAAGGCAAGTATTAAATACCATTCATGAAATAATAGTCAACAGTACCCAAATGGATTCCCATGGGAGAGGGAAGTGTTTCCCTGTTTCTCCAGTGCAGGTGTAGGCACAGCAGTACCACCTTTCTGATTCCTCCTCCATAAAAATTTCCAAAAGCCAACCAGTTCCCTATTTTCTGGGAGAAGAACAGCCCGTTCCTTCTCTAAAAGGCACCTGATACTTGCTGATGGCGGAATATCCAACTCAGTCAGTGACTGAAGCTTTGAAAACAGCTCTTTTTGCCCTGGAAGTTAATTTAAAATGAGCTGCATTTTTGATGCTGTCAGAAAGCTTGGCTGGTTAGTCCTCAAAGGTTACGAACAACAGGAGAGAAGGGAGGGTTCCTGTTGTGCTATGGCAACTGTCACAAACTCGTGTACACATTAGCAAGATCAAACGTTTTGCTCAGCCTGGGAAAGAGCAGGTAAACACCACACTAATCCCTCTGGAGCTGTGGGACACACGGGCTGCCAGCATGTACGGCTTTCGTCAAGAGATGCAAGAAGTCAGTCAGGATTCGTTTCTCTCCTTGCAGTTTATTTATTCAAGGTTTGTGCTTTGCACGGCTGCCCCACTTGTTCCTTGTCATGCAGCTGTGCTGACTGAAGTACAAGGGAGCGTAGCACAAAGGGAGAAGGAAGCTTCAAGAGGTCAGCTTTGCACTAGAGAAGCAGAGAGCAAGCTCATAGCAAGGTACCAGGGACCTGTAAGTTCTGGCTGCAAGCTCTGCACTTCCTTAACCATCAGACCTATCTGGCTCCAGCAATATGTTCCCAATGAGCTGAGCTGGATGTTGAGGATGCATTTATAGTAAGGGCAATATGCCTTTGAGCTGAAGTAGAAAGTACATCCATCACCATAAGTGCCTGAATCAGGGTTTCCCCATGGACACCTTCTTTCCTTTGAGATCCAGGCTCCAAAGGCTGGGTTTTGGTATGATCCCAGAAAAGCTTAAAAGGATACTGGTTAACTTGAGTGAGAAATTACTTAGGTTAATTTTATATCCTCCTAACAGTGCTGAAAAAAGACTGTGAATCTGTACTAAAATCTGAGAGAGTACTACAGGCTGTGCAGAACACAAGCACAAAATTGCGATTAGCCTTGCATGTGTAATTATTTTCAGGCCATGTGAATTAAAGGAAAAAAACCCTCTGAAACATTGAGGTGGACATCTCAGAGGTGCCTTCACTTTGAATCAATCCAGGTGTGTACTATGGAGGAAAAAAAAGTCCTGAAGAACTGAAAAGGCAATATGAGATTCTCCTGACACTGGAAATCTGCTTCCTTGTTTGTCCAGATCCATCAGCATCTAAGGAGCAGTGGTTTGGCTTAGCTACCTTGGAATATGTTAAAAGAGACCCGTCTCTGTGTACGTTGCTTAGGTTTTCTTTTAAGTGCCTTTCCAAATTTGTTTTCCTAAGGCCTTAATCAAAATTTTATAAGTAAGGAAAGATACATTTAGCAGAGTCTAGTGGGTGTTAGTGATCGGTAAGTGCCTGCTAAACCTGGAGGAAATGCTGCTTCCAGAAAAGGAAGATGTTGACATGAAAAAGTGTGTGCAGGGAGAGACCTGCCCCCTCCATCCATCCTGCTGAGCCAGACAGACACACAGCCAGGGAGGCAGGACAGGCAGTGGCAGTGGAGCTGTTGTCAAAGCTTAGTGGCCAGGACATTTCAATAACGTACAGAAGAAAACCAGGCTGCATTCCTGCATCCTGCAATGTTTACAAGTGCTTCCTGAGACAACAGAGAGAAAAAAAATGATTTGGTTTTCTTAATCTGAAGGAGATCATACAGACATTGCTTCACCCACACAACTCAGGTGAAGATGCAAAATTCACATGCCCAGAGCTATGGAGAGCTGGGCAATTCTGCACCTTCTGCATTGAAAATGTGTCCTCCGCTTAGGGGCAATGGATAGAGGGGATAGTGAGGAAAACTCTTCCCTGTCTGAAACTAAGGGAGTTTTGGATTGGAAGTGCAGGAATGCATCTCAATCTGTGAAATTTCTTAAACTGCATCAAAGACATTGATCAAAGTCCAACATTTACCTTTCTTTCTTTGAATCCCATGGTCTGTTGCTTGTGTGGAAAAAATTATGGGTTTTGTGCTCTTAAGGGGAGGAGATAATGAAAAATTCAGAGGGCTCACAGCCTGTGGTAAGGTTGATAAACTGGCTTCTAATTAACTGCCAGTTCTGAGAGCAGGGAGTGAGTCTTCATGCTGCAACCTGTGACTGCAGCGATTCTTGCTCTGCGGTGCTACAGCCACCTCACATGGTAAGAGGATGGTAGGTGACACAAAGCAAAGCACAAAAGCTTCAAAATTATTTTGGTTTATTTTTTACTTTAAAATATGAAAGTTGCCACTGGCAAATTTTTAACTTTGTAAAAGGGACCTTAGGCTACAACTCTTTACTATTACTTCTGCTGCAATTTGAATCCAGAGAAACTGGTGAAGGTTTTCTGGAATAAAATGTCTTTGAACACCCTGAAAAATCAGTGATATATTCCTGATATGACAGGTAATCCAGTTTATATTTCACTGTTAACTTTGTAAGCAGGGAAAGCTTTGCTCTTACAAGATTTTTTTCTTACAGTTTTAACAGCAAGATGAATGTATGGCACTTTGTGAATATGGCAGCTGAGTTCTGTTTCACTGCTCTTTAAAATATTCTCTGCTTTCTCTCTGTTGAAGAAAAATCAAGGCATTATCAGGGATTTGCTTTTTCACTACAAATGCAAATGCACAGGATGACAGCTGAGCCTCACTGATTTAAGACTTCACAGACCCGTCTTGTAAACATTAATGGCATTTGAGTCATCTTGTCTGCCTCCTCACAGCCACACAGAAAGTATTAAATGTTGGAGCAGTGGGGGAGGCAGGGGAACCCTTTGGTTTAAGATGCTGTCCACAGCTGTCACGAAAGTTCAGTCGAACTTACAAGATTTATTGAGTTTGGAGACCTTTTTTATCTGTTTCCTACCTATATAAAATGAATAAAAAAACAGACAAGAAAGCTTCCTAATAAGGCAGTCTAGATCTGAAGAGCAAATTAAGGTCAATTCCTGAACAAAATTGAAGCGTGAGTTACTTTTCTTTTTCAAGTAGTTTTACTTATGTTAATAGCCACGGTTCCTTAGTTTATGAATAATTCATGTGTATGAGTCTCCACAAGACTTAAGCCTGCAGGTAACAAACTTGTATTAAGCACTGAGTGACTTAAAAATACATTGGTAAAGAAGTACAGAACAACTTTTATTTGGTGCTAAAGACAATTGCAATGCAACAATTAATTATTGTGAATAAAGATGGTCAAACAAACACCATCTACATAAGCAATGGAGTAAATATATTCAATATGTCTTCAGCCTGCTGTATTGCATATTGTGCCTTCATTTTATGCAGGAAAATTTTAAGAAGGATATGGCTACGTTCCTCCAAAGCAATTAAGCAGTATATATCAGACAAAGGTTTTGGCAGAAGAATGATTACTCCAATTTAAAGTCTTATTTATTTTCTCTTTTTATCCACCTGTATGTTCTCTACGCTTCTGAGCAAGGTGAGCCACAATCCTGGGGTCTTTGTTCTGGTGATGTTTTTTCAGTGGTGGCCATTCCTGGTGATTCTCACCACCCCAGCGACAAGTGGAGAGCAATGTCAGACTCCCTGGTTCCCATTGCCCACCACTGATGTCTGTTGGTATCATTCAGGATATTGTACAGCTTGACAAAACAGGGTCTTCAATATACATGAGGAGTCTCACCTGGAAACAGAATCCTAGGAGGTCCTGTCTTTATTTGATCCAAAGTTCTCCTGAAAGTGAAAGAGGCAGCTTGCAAGACCTGATCTCTTTTGTTTTCCTTAGCAGTCAGTCCAGTCACTCCTCTCTGCTTGTAGGGTTTTCCCACACACTGTTCTTCCGTCTGCTACACACGGATCATGGAAGCAGGGGCTCAGCAGGAGAGCACAGCATGGAGGCAGAGGTCACGCAGGGAAGGGAAAAAATAAAGGAGAGTGAAGAATAATGAGGAGGGTTACATGTCAGAGAAGAAGAGGCAGAGACTGTCAGAAGGTGGGAAGAGAACGTCCCAGTGCTTGTGGGAAGCCTGTGAAGTTCCATCTGTCTGTACATGGACATGCTGAAAAGGAGGCTGAAATGGCATCTCCTCCATATCGTGACTGCTGCAAGTTTCAGTCATGACTCGGTGGGGCCCCTGCATCAAGTAATTTTTTTCCACCTTAGCATACATTTGTTGAGTTAATTTTGAATAACTGACATGTGACAGACTGATCGCATGCTAAACCTCTCAAGGAAGAGCTGAATGAGTGTTTGTTTGGGGTTTTTTTAAATCTATATACCATATCTGTTATACACTCTGTGCCAAAAAACTATTTAGTAGTGCACAACAGGATGTGTGTTTTGGAATTAGAGTGAGTGAAAGAGGTCCTCTGCACTTAGCAATGACAGGTTGCAGTGGATATAATCCAGCCCTTTGC